TATTTTTGGGGGGGGGGGGGGGCAGCAGCTTTAAATGATTGATAGTGTATTTCTTGTTTCTCCAAGCACAGTAGCTGTGAGTTCTGTGTGACTATTTTGTAGAGAGAGAATTAAAGTTGAAAGACAGTTACAGTACTCCTTAAGGCTTAACTAGTTCCATTCCCCTTCTTTGAAAAGTAATATTCCATTTGCATGGAACATGGTCATTTTTGCACTTCTGCAGCCTTGGCATTATTTTGCTTTGTTCCTCTGGGATTCATCTAAGTTGAGCTCTTCCTCACAGCTCTGTTAAGGCTCATTCTGCCAGTCTTTGAGTTGGCAAAAAAGCATGTTGGCATAAACAGCTGAGCTCTACCCTACCTCAGGAATAAGGCTGGAGATGGCTGCTGTCCTTACAGTTTATTGAAACACAGTTTTAGGGCAGTCACTGGTGAATTCACCTGGCTGCATGTTCTTTCCCCCCCCCCCCCCCCCGGGTACCTTGCAGGTAAGAAAAACAATCACTCATTAATGTGTGGGGAGGCAGGCTTGGGTAACTGTAGGTGAGTCCCGGGGATGAAGGCTTTAGCCACCTTTCAAGTTGCCCAACTATAGGTTACTAGGGCAGAGATTCCCTGCATTATTGTCCTGCCCCTGGGCTATTTCTAACTCAGGTCTAGTACTTTTTTAGAAGAACACTAAATCTGTGTCAAGAACCATGGTCTGACTGACTGTCCACATGTGCAGTGAAGGGCTACGGGCTGAAGCATGAAGGCATTTGCTGGGGGCTCTTCCCCACTTCATTGTGCACTCCTTTGCCACATGCCCTACTTGTCAGCCAGGCACAGAGTGAAGCGGAAGAGAGAAAATTGTAAATGCTGCAAGGGAACGGCAATGTTAGCAGCACCTAGAAGCAGAGCATGGATTGGAATAGGCAAAATGGTGCCGCCCCAGCAAAGTAAGAAATAAAAGCAGTGGAAAGTGCCATCACATGAAATTCCTTGTCAGCAGAAGCAACCAAAATGTGGAATGCATTTATTTAGGATAAACAAAGAAAATAAGTACATAAATAAATACAAACAGGTCTATAGCTCTTTCAAAGGCATGCTAAACCAGTGTATAAAAAAGGAGCATGTGTAATGCCTCACCACTCTTACAAATGCCAGTCAGGCATGATTACATGGCAGATTCATTTGTGGGAGCCAGGTGGGAGGTCCGTCTGGCAACCCAAGCCATGGAGGGCAATGCCTGGCAATCTGAGGGGATGAGCCCACCCCTTAACTGATATGAAAACAACTTTCCAAACCATTGCCTAACCCCTGATGTCATAGCATGCTGCTACTTTCATTCTACTCCTCATCCTTTTTTTAAAGAGAATCCATGCTTTTAAAAAACAACCTTCTACTCATTATCATGCGGGAAAATTTGTGTATCCAGCCAGAACAGTGAGACTGCAATTCTACAGCAGTTGACCTGCAACTGTATACATATATATACACATTCCCGTTCTAGTTTTTCTATGTATACCTTTGCTTATTAAAAGTGCTTCATAAGAGTACTGTGATGGCATTCACAGCTGGAGAAATGGCAACTTCAACTTTCCAAAATTCCCAGATGTACACCCAGTTCTATGTCTTTTGGACCACACTGGTGAATGTTGGTCTAGGTATCTTACCAGTGGGCTCCTTTCTGTCTTTGGCTTGTTGACGTCTGCATGCACTTCCAGAGTGGTTGTTGTTTTGTCTTACATTAATACCTTAATTTCAAGTCCTTACAGCCCGAATAAAATCAGATAATTATTATCCACGCTGCTGTGAGAATCCCTAGCATATCTCACTTGAGACAAAAGCAGTCATGATCTTGAAGAGCGTGGGAACTGACAGTAGATCTGTGGGAGAGACAAAACCAGATCCCAAAGCCACAGCCAAAGCAGGGGAAAAATTCAAACTTCAGATTTTGAAAATAAAACGAAAGAATGAATACCCAGGGGATCTGCATGGAGAGCAATTATCCTCCATTCAGCCCCATTCTGCTTCATATAGGACAATTTAGAATTGGAAATGGAAAAGATGGAAGGAATGTCAAAAGCTGAAATGTTAAGGGAGAATGTGGAGAATTGGACTTTATATGTAATCTTTCAGTACCAGAGAATGATTGAAAATAGTGCCATCCCTCCAGCCCCATATAAACTGCCTTCTCTCTTGCCCCAGTAGGATGATTGATTTCCACGTACTTTTTTCTCAAGTTCCACTACCTCAGATAGACTGTCAGCTTTTACAGACTAACTTCTGGCCCTATCAATTTTCCTGCTGTTTCTCTATTCATTTTTAATTAACAAATCAGTAGACATTTTTATCAGTTCATATTCAGCAGCAGAGGAAGGTACATTTGTTTTTTAAAATGTACAAAGCAGCCAAAAGGTCTCGTCTAGTTTTCTTTAAATTTGAAAGAGGATTTGTTCCTCGCTGAAAGGGCCACATGATTGTGAACCTGCAGCCTGAGACAGTTTATATGTTCCTAATTTTATCTAGTCCTAATCCAAAACTGCTTAGTTGGAGAGGCATATGAGACTTAAATCCATTTATTAGATGAATTTAGATGGATATTTTGGCATCAGTTCCTCCATTTGTAATATATTAAAAAATCAAAATGCTAAATTATTATGAATCTCTCTTGGTTATGAGGTAGCCAAATAATGACAAAGCTTCTCTACTATAAACTGCACATATTTTTAGTCACCCAGTCCTTCCAAATAAGGCTTTTCCTCATGGCCAAGTTAAGCTGCTATCCACCAGTCCTTAAGCCAACTACGCCCCCATAAAATTTTCCACCTTCATCCTTCCATTGGCATGATGTCACCAAATGGAGTTGTCCTTATTTACAGTGTACAGTGCACATTAATATCAGGGATTGGTGGATTCCCTGGCTTAGGTTTCCCCACCAAACGTAGCCAGCCAGTGGGAAAACACTAACCTTAACTGAGCTGGGGATGGGGCTGTGGAGGAGGTGAACCTTGACAGATGGCTAGACCAGCAGGTTTAGACATCTGTCAAAACTCACTCTACTTTTAGCAACTGTTTTTTATGGGTTTGATGGGAGCCTGATTATCCACTAATATTAGCTGATAGTTATGCTCCTTTTAGACATGAGTTTAATGCTCTTTGAAAATGGCACAAAGGAGTCTATATAACACAAGGGGGTTGCAGTATGAAGTGACAAATCTCTTACTCACTCTTACTTCATCTCATGGGCTTTCTCCACTGCCACTGCTATCCAGGTCTCTGAGCTGTTTATTGACTCAGAGACCTGGTGAACACAGAGGGTGAACTCAGCTTGAAAGAAATGGATTTTCATACCATCCAAAGATAAATAGCTTCGGAGGACACTGCCTAGGTATTGAGGAGGAAGGAGTATATTTGCACTAGCTTAATGTGACCTATGGGAGCTTATCCCATCCTCTATGAATTAGCTGATCACAGCAGCAACAGAATGGGTGAAGTGTGCCAGATTGTTTCTATAGCAAAATCATGTCATCTTAAAAGGGAGAACACTACTTTAAAACCAGAACAGCAAAGGTCAACTTAAGTCTATCTCAGGGAAAGATATGATAAAGACGTAGCATAAAAAGGAGGTTGCTGGGCCATATTTGTGCCACAGCTAGGTTCAAGTGAGAGAAGGTTCATAAACAGCTCCTAGTGCTGCTGATCCAAAGGTATTGTAATTTACTTCATCTTGTCTTCCTTAACAGATTTTTCTCTGCAGAGAAAAGTGACAGAACTGGTGAGAGAGGTTACAAACAAAAAAGTTGCAAAATAATGAATAAGGCAGGGCAATTGTTCAATAAAAGACTCTTCAGGCAGTACCAATCCTTTCTGGGCTTGCTGATCATTTTTTATATATGTTCATTTTCATCTTTCCAGACCTTCCCCAGAAGAAGCTTGGCAGTGGCGCAATTCCTTGGAAAAGCTCCTTCAAAGCCCTTGTAAGTCTTCTGTAAAGATCTCAACCTAAGGAAAACTTCTCCTTTTATTAAGGAGAATATTATTAATCAATTAATAATTATTAATTATTAAAATTAATTAAATATTCACAAAATAATATTAAGGTATTTGTAGGCCATAAGAAACTAAGGTATTGCTTTGTCATCCACGGAGGAGTGGTAAAATTGCAACTGCAGTAAAAAAATTGTCATCTTTGTCATTTACTATAGTATTTGCATGAGTCTTATATGCAATATAAAATTATATCAACCTATATCTCAGATCAGAAAGAGAAAGATCAGGATACACCTGGGATGTGTTTATACAACATACCTAACTAGGTTAGTTAATACCTACATGTATACATTAAACTTGCTTGGTTTAGTCTTTTTTGTGACTTAACATGTTTTGCCAATCCAGTCTGTTTGGCTTAATGCAGTGTTCCTGAGGTTGAGAAATACTGGCTTAATGTATCATACAAATCCAGGAAAGCAGGTTAAGTGTATTGTGTGAACCAAATCGTATATAAAAAAGGCTATAATAAGGAAATGTAACAGTGGGAAATCCATTATGTTTCAGGCAACTACGTATGAATGAATTTGTCCAATGAGCAAGAGTCTGAAGTGAATCCAGTTCCCACTGGAGGTTGTAGGAAGAATGGCTGAATGCAGGAACTGAGAGAGTCTGTCTCCTCTGATAAGCAGAGCCAGCCCAAGGCAATTTACTGAAGTTAATAACAAAATGGCATTTCCTCCCCTAGCCGTATTCCATGCTCAAAATGCAAGAGGACTTCAGTTCAATCTTTCTTCAACCTGAAGACATGTCCTCCTCTGCACCTGAAGGCAGCAGACTAACAGAGGTTGTTCGGGGCAGGCCACATGACACAGTTCTTTCTCTTAATACTTTGCTCTACATCTCAACATCTACTGCCTACTTAATGATAGGACCAATCTTGCAAGGAAGCCTGAAAAATCAAATATATAGTTTATTAGTGTTCCATTAAAGAACAATTCCAAGAATTGTTGGAATACATATACCAATAAAGTATGTAGCTCTTTGGGTAGTCCTGCTTTTTGCACAGTGGGTAGTCCTCCTAGACCAGTGTTTCTCAACCTTGGCCATTTTAAGATGTGTGGACTTCAACTCCCAGAATTCCCCAGCCAGCATCTTAAAGTCCACACATCTTAAAATGGCCAAGGTTGAGAAACACTGTCCTAGATGCTGTTATGACTCCCTGGCAGCAGGCCCCAGCAGTTTCTTTCGTCACCCAGCTCCCTCAACCAAACCCGCTGCTAACTCTCCCACCACCAAGGGCTCTAAGGGGCATTTCCCCCACCCTCTAAATCCAGGAAGACTCAAGACACTTCTACTTTCCTGCTTTAAGAAACCAAAGACTCTGAACTAGTTTTTATTTTATTAGCTGCATTAAATAATTATACAGATCTACAACCAGATTTACTCAAATTCCTAAACAAAAGCATTACTTTATACAGCAGTAGCTGTTGAATCCCACTCCCCCCAGTCCCAAGGGACTTGGATGGAGAATGCTTTCTCACTCTCTGACACAACAGGCAAGCTCTTTTTAAAATTCAGTAATTTTTAATAAATCCCCAACATATCCATACAATTCAGCAACCTTGGTGGTCTTGCAAAAACAGTCATGGAACAGTTTCCACTCCCCTCCCCTTGACTCTGCTTGATTCCTCTTGCATTTCTTCCTTACTGGTCCCATTGCAAATCCAGGTGGGTTGCTCATTGGTTCTGCTCCCCCAGCCATCACACTTTGGGCATGGTACTTGCTGTCTTAGCCTCTGTCCTCTCTCCAGAAGACTTCTTGGGTTGACTCTGTTCATAGGTGGGACTTGCCCAGCAATTCCTCTCACCTGAACTGCAGGCAGGCATGTTAGCAGGGCACCCAGCAGGGAGAAGGCCTTCTGGTTCTCCTGTTGCTCATGAGTAACCTTTCTCTTAAAGGTTCTCCATTACTCACAAGTAATTCTGGTGTCTCACTTTAAATCTTACTTCCTCAAGTTGTTTTCCTAAGCTAACCACTTTCTTTTCTTTTTCCTAGCTGTTTCTTTCAGCTGGGTCAAACCTGTTTGCATCAAGTAGGGCCCCTAGTTCATGTCTTGCTCTCAACTCTATGGGCGACCTCCCCCTCCCTCCCATTGGAAGGCCAGGCCTCAATTCATATTTCCTTGCAGACTTCAATTTGTCTACTAAAAAGGCTATATTATATTTGTGATCCTTATTTCAGCCTTGTTTACCTTTACATCCTCTTTTCTGCTTCTGGTTAATTACAAACCTTATGTACTCAGATTCCTAGCATTCAATTTATTTCCTTCTTATGGCAAACTCTATCAGGTTGCAACAGTTTCCTCAGTTCTCCAACTTTCATGTAACCCCTCCTCCACACACACCCATACATATTATATATATTACTACAGATCCAGGAAAAAAGTACTCAACTTTATTTAACTGATTTTATTCCCAAAGCAGTTTAAGTCTACTATGTAAAACCAATGTCACATCAACACCCAAATAAGCTATAACACTGTGTGGAGCTTGAGCAAAGTTCAATCTTAAACAGTAATCAGCATAATTAATTATATTCATATACTTATACCAGGTGAATCAGAATACTGTAGAGAAAAAGAGTTAGTACACAAATTTCCTATGATTGCACATGAGGTCTCTTCTGAATTGATCAGCTTCCAAGATGGCTGTTTCCAGGAACATAAAGGGGCAGGAGCCTGTGCTGTGCCCTCAATGCCCATTCTCTTGGGTGTCTCATAGATCTTCTGGGTTTGGAGAATGCCAGGCTATTCCAGGTGGCACCACTTCCTTACAAGAGTCTGTTACAATATTTGGGTATTGCCATCCTGTTCAGCTCAATTCCCATCTACATGGACATCTCTTTCCCAGTTTTGGCCTTTATCTGGTTACTGCCTAAGCTTGACATTACTTTCCTTATCCATGGCTGTTGATCAGGGCCTTCCAGAGAAGATGCTCTCAACCTTGCTTCAGCCATTTCTGAAAATTCCACTCATTCATTGAGTCACATAATATGATGATTACCTAGAGCAGGGATTTTCCAACTTGTTCAAGTTGTGGAACCTGATCATTTTAAAAAAAGATTCCCAGAAATCCCTGATCAAGAGGGGTGAAGCTTACATGTACAGGCATGTAAGATGCCAGTTAGCCTAGGCTACCTGAATTTGCAACACTATCAATCAAATTACTTTTGTGCAGAGCAGTGTATTGACGTTATCATCAACTATTTCTATTTCAACTATTTCAGCTATTTCTTGCATTTTGTTTTTTGCATAAGTAAATTCAAGACCTCCAAAAGGGATTACAGCAGCCTGAGAAATAGGGTTGCCTCTACCACATTTATTGACCGAGCTTTGTTGATAATGCAGTTAGATTACTGAATGGAACATGGTAAATAGTGCACATCGTTTTATATGTTTTAATATATGAATATGTGTTCATTTCTGGGCACAGTGCAGAGTGATGGTTTTATTCTGTAAAGCTGTTAAATGGATTGGGATCTCAGGGCCCCTTAAAAATTAGCCAGATAAGTTTTTAATTGGATTCCTTTTACACTGAAAATGAACAGTTGCAAAATTGACCTGGTGCATAATCTGATGGCTTTTCAGGGCCAGGCAAGCAAAGCCCTTTTAATTTGTTTAGGCCATGTAGACCTGTTAATGTTTTTCTTTATTTAATACTGAAACACTGTTCCTGTTTTGATTACTGTATTGAATTTATATAACTTTTTAAAAGAAATTTTGGTTGTTTTCAAATCTTCCATAATGTTCTGTGCCAGTCCTTTTGAATCTAAATTGCCCCCCCCCCGCCCCATCTAACACTGGCAACTTGCAGTCTCTTGCAAGACATACAGTATGTGTAGTTGGCATGTTGGGGGTTGGGTGGGAAGGTGGACGGGAAATCCATGGCTAGGATCTTCTATGATTTTTGTATTTTCTCTCTTTGTTAAGTAGTAGTTTTGTGATGTGGCTGCTTTGAAGATTAAGGAGAAAAGAGGATACTAAGCCCTTTCATATGGTAATTGGCAGGGAGGGAGAGAAGTTACAGCAAATGACTGCAATTAAGGACAAGGAAAGAAAGGATCTTCCAAAGCATCACTTTCATGATCTTCAAGCAACTCTTCCAAATCATTACTAGTTTAAAACAATCTAAACTAGTTGGGCTTTGTTTTAATTGATCTGTAAAGAGTTCCTTGAATCTCTATTTCAGCATTATCATACATTATAGATAGCAATCTCACACTTCCTCACCTTTTTTCTTCTGTGCTCTATCTACATTTTAATCACCATACAACTGTATATTCAAAATCTTTGTGATTTTCATTTGGAGTTAACAAAGGGATTATGCTATTGAGTTTTACCACATACCTAACGCAAGGCATGCTTTTGGTGCTCCAAGAATATCAGCTGCAATCAGTGAAAAATTGTGGCTGCTCAGGAGCTTCTGCAAACAAAAGTTGTTGTTTTTTTTCCTCCTCCGGGTGCCTCAGCTTCTTCAGAAATGTATATTTGTGGGTGTACGGGTTGGCCTTTGCTTCTTGATTGGAACTGTTGGGGCAAGCTGATTCCTCATCACATTCCTTGTCTCCCAGCTATAGATTGCAAAGAATTAAGGGAGAGTGACATGAAACAAAGATGAGTTATAGTGTGGTTGAAGCTGTTATTGATGTCTGGATTCTTTCATTCCCTATATTTGTAATCTGTTAACATGACTTGCTGACCATACTGTATCATCCTCTTCCAAGATTTCCTTAACAAACTGATGAGGCAAAGAGACACAGAAAAGAAAAAGAAACTAGGGTGGAATGATGTTGTTCCAATACAGCAAACAATTTTTTAAGTATGTGATCAAAGAAAAAGTGATCAAGGAATGTGGCACAATAGAGGATTAATTATGAAGCGGTAATTTGAAAAATATTAAAGTTTTTTGCACAATTGCAATTGCACAATTGCAATTGACATTTTTTAAAATCAATTTTTCTCTGCTCAGATGGCCTTGCCAGCTTCCGTACCTTCCTCCAATCTGAATTCAGCGAAGAGAATATTGAATTCTGGATTGCATGTGAAGATTATAAGAAGACCAAATTGCCTGCCAAAATGGCTGAAAAGGCCAAAAAAATCTATGAAGAGTTTATCCAAAGCGAGGCTCCCAAAGAGGTTAGTTGATTGAATGAAGATAAAACACTGGCCCTTGTTAAGAATTATGGAATTGATCTTACAAAAGTTTCCCTGTGATTAGCTTCCATTGGGTCCACACCTAAACCCATATCCCTTTCCCTTGTCAGAGAAGAAATTGCTGTCTTCCTCTAATTCCTACACTATACTAAGCAAGTACTATATTTGTGAATTTTGCAAAACAGATCTTAGAGACAAATCCGAGGAAGCTGTGCAATGGAAGGCTGTCATTAAAAACTATAAACAAATGCACTGAAAACCTTTAAAAGTGATGCAGGCATCGTGGCAGGAAACTTCTACTGCCTATGAAACTCTGCAACCTGTAATACAAGCACACCAGCAATTCCATCTTCAGGCACTCTTTCCATACAAGGCAGCACATTGCTACAAAGAGAATCCATGAGCTGGAAGGCAAGACAAGGCAAGAACTCCACCAGTGAGGTTATACGCTGTCCCTTGAAGCACACCGCAGTGATATGGTGCTGCTTCTAAAGTGGCATTTCCCAATCTAAGAATAAAACAGCATTGATATAGGTTGTGATCACAAAGCCCTGGTGCTGATTACGTGATCAGTGGAGGAGGGGTATCATTTTGCCCCACTGCCAGGGGTGTATCATCATCCCCATAGTTTGATTTGGTAAAAGGTAGTTTCATGTTTCTAACATTTGTAGCAAAATTTCAAATTACGTGAATCAAATGTTTCATTTTTTTTACTTCTTGTTACAGACATTAAACATATATTTATTTCAGTTATCTTTTATAGAGAGATATTTATTAGCTATTAGCTTCACATAGGGAGTTGCTATTAGCTTCAGTTTTTTCCACTAGTTTTGGCAATTTTGAAATATATCCCCTTGTAAAGTATATTGTTGGTACTTCACTTGATTTATGTGAGATAATATATTTTGTGTAATTCCTACAGCTATCCACTTTGTCTCCCTCTTGCCAGGTGAATATTGACCATTTCACCAAGTCAGTGACCATGAAGAACCTGGTGGAACCATCTGTAAGCACTTTTGACCTGGCCCAAAAGAGAATCTTCATGCTGATGGAGAAGGATTCTCTGCCCAGATTTGTGCGATCCAACATATATGAAGAATTAGTAAAGTAGCAATGTGGCAGAGCTGTGCAAGGCATTGGTACACCTACGCAGGGTCATTGCTTCCTCCAATGACTAGTAATCAATTTGTGTTATTTATCTGGATAGTTGCTTTGCTTTGTATTTATTCCAGGCTTTGAAAACTCAAAGTCTGTGTTGTTAAACATAGTGACCATACTGTACTGTTTTGGTCTTTCTGTTGTTCCTTCAAGATAATTTTATTTTACTCCATTACCCCTCTTTTTATTTCTCCTACTCAATTTCACTGGAACAAAATTGGTTTAGATAATTATCCCAACCTAAAATATGACACTAATTTGGCAGAAGGCCAAATTGTTTCTAGGATCTTCTGTCTGCCTTTGGTGTGAACTTCAAGATTCAATAGATTCAAGAACAGCCCAGATTTAAGAATCTTAGAGATATACCATCTGTCCTAAGAACACTAGAATTCTGAACTGGGTAGCCACCAATCACCCATTAATTAGCAAGTCAGTAATCAGATAGACAGTATACACATAGTTTTAAATCCATGTGACAAATATATGTTACTGTCACTGATCAGCAATCACAAGTTAACCAGTAACCTCACAGAGTCATAGACAAACATAAGGGAGGGTGTGGTATCTTTTAAAATGCAACATGTGTTAAAGAAGGAAAAATCAAGCCTGTATGTGTCAGATATCATTTATAGCTATAGAGAAGATCAGAACAGCATGACTTAGCTGAGGGAATACAAAACAAGAATAAGCCCATAAAAACAATGTGCTTTCTTTTGTTTTTTAGATAATTTTCTCAGTGAACTATATTTCATATTACTGCCAGAAATAATGCTCTCACAAGAGATTTTAGTTCAGCAATTCATCAGGTGAATACGTCATTCGACTGCATCGTTTTCTGATGACAGCTATTATTTGCCATGTTGTAATGGATCAATGGAAACTAGTAAATACCAGCACTTGCTACGTAACTTAAGGAAATACGCAAACAACATACCCCTCAAATGAAACTGAGTTAACTTAACATGAGAATGTTTGAATTGTATTTGCAGTTTGTAGCAAGAAGATAATGATTTCGGGTTTATGTAAAAACCTACATTTAATGTTAATGACTATGACAAAAAGCGGATTACCTATTACCTGGAATTAAATAAACAGCTGATCAGAACTAAGCAGTTGATCAAAATCCCGGGCTGAATAGCTGCTAAAAGACCAGCTTTATATTTTTCTTAAAAATCATTAATCGACAGATAGCCTCATAGGTAGCAGATAATAGAAATAACACAATAATGAAACTGTTACAATATCCATTTTTAAATAAACAATTTCTTCTTAGAACCTGAAGAGTGTAGATTTGGACAATCTGTCACCCATCAAACCAAATGCATCCCACTAACTATGTAGGAATTTGTCCACTAGTTGATTAAACCTTCTATTTTTGCAGACTCAGGCAGTAAAACCAGATTTTAAGCTCCTTGTGGGATAGGCACAGTTTAGGGGATTACAAGTTGTGAAAGCTCAGTCTATTATTAAACAGAGAAAAGAGAAAGTAATAACTTTTTGGGTAGCAACAATGAATTCGGAGTCCATTCTGCAGTGCTAAAGATGTGAGATAAATTCAGATCCTGTGCTAAATGACTGTTATTAAAATATTTAAGGGAAGGAGTAACAGCGAGAATAAATCAGGCTACCTGCCCAAACAGTGTGACTTGTTTAACAACCCAGGCCTCTCTTGTTGCCTCTCTTATCAGTTTCTTTTCTGCTTTAGATTCATAATATTATATGATGATATGATGATATAATAATATTTTTATAATGGCCCTGCATAAACTCCAGTGCCTATGCACAGCCTTAAATAACTCTCCTGATCTATCCTTATGAATTATGATGAAAACACTTACAGTTAAACCCTTGTATTCTTGCCTCTGTCTGTAGCACACTTCCCAAAGTATTATTCTACTACACACCTTTAATCACAAGATTTAAATGTTCTTGTAATACATGTACTAGTATGATCAAGGTATTTCGCCTGCAGTGATATGAATATAAAAGGCACCCAGATAGAGCTGGAAAAATGCATTTAAATTTTAGAAAATAGACCACTGGTACTGGACTAAAAATCAGTTTACAGTTAAAACCTCTACTTTTGCTCTGAAAAGTACCAGTCACCTATTTAAGACAGGTGAGAGAGTGACTAAATCCAGCTCCCCCTCCCTATCAGAAGCAGATAATTGATACATCGATGCTATTCACCATTGGCTATGGTGGCTCTGCCTGACGGCCATGGTGGATCAGTGTCATGGCAGGATGTGCACAGAACTCAGTTTCAAGTTGACAAGATGTCTTAACATCACCCAACTAGATGTTAATTTCTATTCCTCCCTAACCCAATAATTTTTTTTGATTCTCAGAGATACATATGGTTGTAATCTATTATTTTTATCAAGAGAGGAGGTAAACCATAACTGCTACCATGCTCTTGTATGCCTTCATATAATCTAGTGGACTCATACAAAAGATGGTCAAACTGGATAGGGCCCAAATCCTCTTACTTGGCTTAGCTTTTTCCTGCATCCTGAACAGCAAAAAAAAAAAAAAGGGGGGGGGAGAGGAGTCCCAAGTACCCTCCTTCCCTTCCTTGTTTTTTTTTTTTTCCTACACTATCCCATTCACTATCCCATCAAGCACCAGTTGTCTCATCCCTGTCCCACTATATTCCATTTCCCAACTGTTAAGTGCCAATCCTTAGCACTTAGGTGGCCAATCCAGCCACCAGTTGTGGGCCAAATCTAAACAGCACTGGATCTTGCAGCTCTGTGCTTAGAGTGCCCTCAGTTGAGTGAGCATTTAATAACTTAACAAATGTAGATTTGGCCTGCTGAATATATCCAAAATGATAAGTGCCAGAAAATTTCACCAGCCAGGTCATCATTTCCAGTTTTCTTGAACTCAGTAAACAACTTCTGTTCCCCCGAGCTATAAATATAAGCACACTGTCTGGCCTTAAAAGAAGAGTCATGTTCGAAGGAAATGCCAAAGAAGTAACTACTCTACAATGCTTTAATTAGCCTCTTCGTTTGAAGAAAGATCTCAAAATGAGTGAATTGGCCTATCAGCCTACTCCTGAAATTGTGAGGGGATTATCTGAGAAAGACACTTATTTCCAGGATCTATTTTAGAGAGCACATACATCCTACTGACTCACAGATCATTAAGATTCTTCCTGCCTGGAGGCAGATTTTCCGGTTACAGCCAGAGAATACTCTATCCCTGAAGTCTGAAGGAGCTTGTCAATAAGTTTAACCCAGCAGCCTACTCACTTGGCTCTGTAATACCCCTGGTGACTTGGAATGAAATAAACAAAGGTTTAACAAGCTTGTTAAAATTATAGTAAAAATAACTTATAAATGTTGCTTCCACACTAACAGACTAAATATATCATGCATAGCTAAAGAATAGGATTAAGGTTTGCCTTTCAAGAAACTATCTCATGAACATCATGAGAATTAAAAGTTATGCGTCATTTTTTGCTGACTTTGCTGCACAGAATATATGGGGCTAAATTCTCCCCATGCATCTAAAAATGGAAATGTTTAGGTATGTTTTGTCCCTTGAAGTGGCCACAGTGTTTGGATTCAAATTTGTATTGGAACATGATAAGCCAGTTCATTATTGTATCATTCTCAGTGGCTGTCGTGGGTTCTGGGTCATTCTGGATAGAAAGCCATGTGATTATAATTTAATTGTATGCAGGGTGGAGAGAGATTTGAATCAGTTGTGGCTATGAGAATTCTGTACAAAAGGTTTACCTTTAGAAGTTGCCCTGTTTTAATTCCATAGAGGTATATTTACAGACCACAATTTTAAAGCCGCTTCAGCTTTTGGTTGAAGGAGAAATGAGAGGCGAGAAATGCTGGCTATGACAAATAATTTCAGAACAATTTGTACAGCCTCTGTTGTTTTCCAATCTGAATAGAAAGCAGTGATAATGTCAGTGGAATGGGATCATGGACAACTGGGTCCAATGGCTCTCAGTCACCTATTAGAGGATGCAATGTGTCCAGGGTTGGTCCATCCATACAGGTTAAGGAGGCAATCAGCTATAGTGTCAAGTTAAGTAAGAAGCCCAATTTCAAGGGGGGGAAAATCAAATCTGCCCTTAGGGTTTGAGGGTGGGGAACCAGCTGCGTGGTTTGCCTAGGGCACCAGTAGCTAGCAACTGGTCTGGTCTAGGGACATCAATGAGTGTGGCTATGACAGAGGCACAATTCAGACCCAGTGTTCCTCACGGTAACTGAATGTGGCATGGGAGGTGTGTTCAGATAGTCCAATATACTTTTCTCATGTTCACCCTGCCTCTTCTTTGAGTGTTGGGTGCATGGCATGTGTAAGGTTCTCACACTTTATTCTCATACCAACAACCCTATGAGACAGATCAGGCTGAGCGAAAGGAAGCTGCTGAAGGCTGTCCAACAAATTCCCTGGCTGATTTCCAACATCCAAAGCACAATTCTCTTATGGATACTTTGCTCCTCACTTCATAGCCGCTGTACCAAACTAATAGTTGAACATTCAGCAGTTAATAAAACTACCAAAATACCCTCAAATGTTCCTCATTTTTGGAATTGCTATCCAAGACCAAAAGATGTCAAATATTAAGAAAGGGATCACATTAGTTTCATAAAAATCTAGGGTGTTGTGCTCAACAAAAATAGATTCTCAGCAGTCCCAGTAATGCCATTAGGAATCAGTTCTCTTGATATTGCCTGGATTTTCTTTAATTGATACTGCGGCTATTTTCTGAATGAAGGGGAGATAGAGACAGAAAATAAGATCTGCTCCATTTCCTTTTCCTAAAATTGATAGGAATGTGTTGCTTATCATATCAGCAGTCATCCATTATCTTGATTTGGCCTACCAGACAGCAATGGTCACTGGCTTCAAGTTGACAGGCGCAACTGGGCAAGTGAAGCCCCGCACCTTTTTACATTTGTGCAATGTGTGCAATGCCAAAATGCCCACCATTTTGAAGATAGTGAAAGGAAAACATTCATCATGTGGTATAAGAGGTTTATTGTAAACAGGCAGACTTCAGGTAAGCCAGAATTGGAACTTTGACATGGTACACATTATTCTTGCAAGGGTTTCACTTAAGCAACCCACTGAAAATTGTGTCATTCTTTGATTTGTCACAGCAAATACAAATGCAAAATGTGCCCCCACCTTTGAGACACATTTTTAACAATGTCTAGTAGACCCAAATTACTGTATGCTATTTGGTAATAGAGAAGTCCTACCAGACATGAACTTCCAATCTTTCCCATAAAAATGGAGTTGTAAAACATGTTTGTAGTCTATTTAATTTTTAAGGTCATGCATGTCAGATTGTGTGGGGGGGGGGGATGAAGAGACCATTGCAGATTTTTATTATGATTATTTTACAGCCTGCTAGCGAGATGGTGGTCTAGTCATAGCTCATATATTATTTATCCTACTTTTATTATTAAATAACATACATCAGTAATATATTAATATTCATCACACTTCTTTATTATTAATTATATTCTCATATATAGTAAATATTGGCAGAGACCTCTAAGAACTTCTCCTGTACAAGCTACATACATGAATGGAATTTATGCAAGATGTATTCTTCTTACACTTCTATTCATTGCATTTAAGCTGAGCAGGAAAAGTTTCCAGTAGATTTAATGATGTAATAGTCTTTCCTGAATTTGTAGGGTAATTTTTGCTAGAGTGCAGTAATTTGTGATTTGGAAAGTACAAGTCACAGATGGATGTCAAATTAAAAATATTTAATCAGCTTTTTATCCAGTCTGAAATAAAGCATGTCTTGCCATTCCATACAGTGTTTGTTGTTTTGTGCAATATGTTAGGCAATTGCTTTTAGAAAATATAAGAAAAGCCTATAAATACAGAAATGAGCCTCTGTTCTGTACGTATTCTAAGTATATGGTTAACAGATAACCACAGAGATGGCCCAAAAGGTCTTGCTTTTGGGACGGGGGGGGTGTCAGTGCTGCCTCCCACCACTCCATACCCTCCACATACACCATCTTCAACAGCAACCTACCATTCACCCTCTGTCAGTCTCTGGCTGGTATAGGCTGCCCTATACATACTGTATCACTCTATTTAGACCAGGGCAAAGAAGTTGTAGAGTTAAGAGGTAAGGCCAGGTAGATTGGTAGGAGCAAACAGATTGCAAACAACAAGACTTTGGCAAGTGCAGGCCTATTAATGCTACCTTGTGTAAACCCTCACTCTCCTTAACTAGTTGATTTAGAGAGCTGAAATTAGTTCGTGCAGAATGTTGAAAGCAGCATGAAAGAAGTGTAACTTCTATTAAGAAAGACCCATGGAAGGTTGATGTGTCTCTATGTTGTCAATGATAATGACATGTATTTTAATTTCTGATACTTGACAAATAGAGTTCCTGCAAAACCAACTAGAGGGGACAAGTTCTGTATCTGGCCTAGATTTAGCCGTTCCTATGTCTAAGGGCCCCTTCATGGATCACTGCCTTGTCGTGGCGAAGGGGCTTGCGTAACTCAGTGAAGCC